ACCCGCTTTTTTTTTTTTTTCCCTCTTGACGGGTTTATTTTACTATTTTATTATTATTATTATTATTGGCTCTGCGCATGGGGAGCGTAGGCGCGAAGTCTAGTCGCTGAAGTGGGGGGGCTGAGCATATGGGCGCGAAGCATAGTTGCGCATGCGTGGGAACGGGTAGGGGGAGCGTGTAAGTGGACATGCGTGGAGGCCTGGGTAGAGTTGAATATGTGGCCGCGAAGCTTAGCTATAGCTACGCATGCGTGGAAACTGGGGCGAGGGGAGAGTAGGTGCGTATCCGTGGATACTTGAGTAGGCGCGAAGCTTAGCTATAGCTGCGCATGCGTGGAAACGGGGGGGGAGGTGCGCATGCGTGGATATATGAGTAGGCACGAAGCTTAGCTATAGCTGCGCATGCGTAGATGCCAGTTAGAGGATCATGTGGGCGAGCATGTGTGGAAGTGGGGCGGTTGAATGGGCCCGAACGCTACTCATATCTGCGCGTGCGTCGATGGGGGAGGGGAAGTGTGGGTGCGCATGCGTGGGTGCCTGGGTGGCTTGAGTATTTGGGCGCAAAGCTTAGCCATAGCTGCGCATGCGTTGAAGCCCGGTAGCTAGGACATGCGTAGCTGCCTTATTGAGTGTCGGCGCGAAGCCTTGTCATAACTGCGCATGCGTGGAAGCCGGGTAGTGGGACCATGTGGGCGCGAAGCTCAGTCATAGCTGCGTATGCGTGGAAAGCGGGGTAGGGGAGCATATGGGTGCGCATGCGTGAATTCCTGGGTAGGCTAAATAAGCGCGAAGCCGGGTTAGGGTTGCATGTGGGTGCGCATGCGTGGAAGCCGCGGTAGGGGAGCACGTGGGCGAACTCATAGCTGCGCATGCGTGGGAGCCGGGGTAGGGGAACAGGTGTGTTTGCTGTGATGCGGGTTAGGGGCGGGTCTTGCCCATTGCATTGGGGCAGGGCTTGCTCCGTGTGGGGATCTAGGCTGGGTAGAAGGCATCAGCACATATGCAAAGCACCTATTTTTTGCAGTTAAAAAGAAGCTAGAAGCTTTCCTGATAGGTGGGAAGAGGCTGGGTGAGCCAGTCTGGGATTGAAGCAAAACCAGCTCTCGCTTCATCGCACTGAGTTGCAGCCAGTCAGTCAGTCTGCAGGGCTGTGAAATGGGAGCGTCCCACCAGGAGGCAGAGCAGAGGGTAGCTTGCCTGGCAGCAGGTGAAGACCATTACAAGGAAGGGATGGTCATTAACACCTGTGGAAAGAGGAGTTTAGAAGGGATCAGGTAGATCACAACGAGTCACAAGGTCAACTGACTCCTTCGGCACTGCCTGACTGGCCATACTGCTGTCACACTGCCAGGCAGCTGGTTTTAAACTTTGGGAGGAGCAGGACTCCGAGCAGGGTGCAAGTGCACCAGTGCACCCACCCCTGGATCCACCCCTGGCCTGCTCCAGCTGCCACCCCTCCAAGCGCGAGTCAGCCAGGGCTGGATGCGAACGGAGGTGCCTGGACTGGACTGGCTATGGGGTCAGCGGGCAGCGTGGTCTCGCGTGTGCATCTGCTGTGATGGGCAGGGGGATCCAAAAGCCACAGTCTCTTCAAGCATCCCCTGCATTTGGCCCCGAGGGCACCCGAGTCATGAGCTCGGTGTCACGAGGATGAGGATACTGCAGGCAACGTTCAGCCTAGCAATTCACCACCAGGGTGCTATGGGGGTGCAACAAGATCCTTTCAGGGGTATACACAGCATAAGCACTGCCGAGGTGTGCAAATGCGATTCACGTGAGAATCCCAGAGATTGCAAACAGAAACCCATGGTTGTGGTCTTGCTGAGTTCTTTGCAACAGAAGAATTGCTCTATTATTCTTCAGTAGCCAAATAAAAGGCATCATCTCTGAACCAAGAGCTCTAGAGTTTTGCATTTCTTTGTCCCAGATCAACACGACTACCAAATACATCCCTAAAAGTCAGCTGGCACTTTCCAAGCAGTTCCCTGAGTCTACCCAGAGGATTTCCAGTCTAAGAAAGTTGAGGAGCACTGGTGCAGTCCCTCCCAGCTGCCCCAGGACCCCCCTCTCTGAGCACAATACCCCTAAGGGCCGTTTCCAGCCACTTCCAAACTTCGTGTTCTTTGCTCAGTCACCCCAGCTCCCAGCCTTCGTCGTGCCCTGGGCTGGCCACCCTGCAGGACAGTCCTCGCAGAATGAAGACACCTGGTTGCATCTTTGTCTCTGGACTGGATCCCTGCTGGGAATCTCTCTCCCATCCTTCCATGTTCAAGCTGCCAGCCGTTTCATAGTAGGATTGCACCAGTTCCTGAAGGAAAGGCCCATCAGCAGGTGTTGTGGTCTGAGCCAGTTCTTAAGAACAAGGTTACTCCCTCCTCTGTCTCGGAGCTCTCCGAGGAGAGTGCCGCGTGAATTTGGATTCTACCCAGAGGCTCTTGCCTGTGGGTTTACAGTTTGTCTCCTCCTCAGGTTTTGCACATGAAATACAAAAAATACATCAAAAGCCTGGCGTCACAGCTAAGGTCAGGAGATGACAGAATTAAACAATGGAGCTTTAACGCTGTCTCCCTGCACGGGTGTATGATAACACGCTGTTCTTTTCACGGTGCACAGCCCGGACGGTGCTTGCTGCATGTGCAGCTCTGCCATATTTTGTTCTCTCCTCGTTGCTTGGGGCGTGAGCCCCATGCCTTAGTTACACACCATAGTGAGTGCTCCAGAGAAAGAAGCTGATCTGCTCTTGGGCTTTCATTGGAGGGCAAGTACAGGCAAAGATCCATGGTTTGAATTCTCCCAACGCTTCTGCAAGGGGAGGAAACAGCATCATCCCCTCTGTCTTGTTGAGGAGCTGAGGTGCAGACCTGAAGATCAAAACTTTCAACTTCTCTTGGATACCTAAGCAGACACACCCAGGACCTGAGATTTTTAGAGTGATCAGCCCCTTCCAGGGGTGTTCAGCTTCCAGCCCACCGGCCAGATCTTGCCTGCAAGGCCATGTCATCGAGCCCAAGGGTCTTCCCACAGATCCAGAGATTTGGTGATGGAGCAGTCCCCCACTGCGAAATTTCCAGACCCGTGGCATGGGGAGTCCTGCATCCAGATGACATGGCTCTGCACGCTAGATAGTGCTAGTACATGGAGCCACACACGTACGTGTAGTTCTCAGCTGCATCTGGGGGGTCAGGCCACACAGCGCTAATAAATTACACGGGTATTTGCTAACAGCAAAAGGTTTGTGAAACTGAATCCAGACAAGACACGGGATGCTGGTGAGCAGGCCATGTGACCTAGGGGTACTGGGGTACCTGCCATGGATGGGGTTCAGCCTCCCCTTGTCACTCAGGTTTGCAGCCTTGAGGTGCTCCCGGATCTTGTGCTGCACCTGGATCTTCAGGTGGTGGGGGTCACTGGGAACAGCTGCAGCCCTTTCTTTCAGAGTCTGATCTGGCCACCACCATCCAGGCCTTTGTAACTCAAGGCTAGACCACCACAATGTGCTCTATGCAGGGCTGCCCTTGAGAAGGGTCATCAGAAGCACATAACTCCAGTGCTCCAGGGTCTGCACTAGCTCCCAGGAGCTTTTTGCACACAATTCAAGGGAAGTGTTGGGATTCACTTATAATGCCCTAAACATCCTGAGACCCTATACCCCTAAGGTAGCACCTTCTTTATGCCTCACTGCAGTCCCAAAGGTCAAGAGCAACCTCCTGCGTGTACCAGCCATGCACCAAGTCCCTTGGGCAAAAACACATTGCTCTCAGCAGTTGCTCCTCAGCTCTGGCAGTCCCTCTTTCTTGAGGCTGCTAGATCCTCCTATCTATTTGGGCATTTAGTGCACAAAGCTAGGCCGAGATATTGTTTAGCAGGTCTCTACTTTATTTTCATAGATTCATAGATGTTAGGGTTGGAAGGGACCTCAGTAGATCATCGAGTCCGACCCCCTGCATAGGCAGGAAAGAGGGCTGGGTTTAGATGACCCCAGCTAGATGCCTATCTAACCTCCTCTTGAAGACCCCCAGGTTAGGGGAGGGTACCACCTCCCTTGGGAGCCCGTTCCAGACTTTGGCCACTCGAACTGTGAAGAAGTTCTTCCTAGTAATTTTATTTTGTTATTTTGTCTTATTGATGCTAGTTGCACTTCCAAGTTTCTGTTTCTCTTACTGTAAGCCATCCTGAGTCTTTGTTGGGAAGGGTGGCATATACATTGCTTAAATAAATGAGTTGTGAACCGGTTCCCAATTAGTGACGTTTAGGAACAGGTCAGTTGTCATGCATGTCTGCAACCTGAGTTGCCTCCTCCATGGCATTTTATAGAGTTGCCAAGCTCAAGTACAAGTGTAGCTCCACGAAATCATGAGGCCCATGAAAAAATAATGAAAGCCTTTTTTACTTTTGAGCCTTTGGGTGCCCTTGGGTCAGGCTTTCATCAGAAGCACGAGGGCTGGAAGCTTGTTCTTTTTTCCAGAAGCAAGCTGTCATTCTCCTGCCATTTTTCACTTGACTCCAGGAGCTGGGGCTTAAAGAAAAGCCACCAAATATTCCAGGCTTTGCAGCAAGAATCATGGGTGCAGACTCCACTGTATTTGAGTCAGCTGCTTTATTTCTTCCCAGTCCAAATCCATGCTTCTAGGAAGGAGCCGTATTAATTTGCCTGCACCTGTCAGGGAAAATTGTAGTTTTGCTGGGCAGGCATGGGATACCCCAGGCCTGTAGTCATCGCTTCTTGGCCTGGTAC